TTATTACGGGATTTTAAATATGCATTCATACATCTGTAATGACGTCATATTGAAAGAGAATTAATGAGTGTTTGTCCCACTGCAGAGTGCATAGGTCTAACACCCTAATACATTTGTCATACCTGGACGCGTTCCTTTGTCGTGATTTCGAATTACTTCTCAGATACCGTCGAGCTGAATCTCTATCCAAAAAAAAAATGGAGAAAAAAAAATGGAGATTATTAGGAGCAATAAAGGGAATATTTTCTTCACTAAGAATCACAAGACATTCCCATTCTTGCAATTCCCATTTTTGTGGTCTACCTCTCAATCAACATTGATTTTGGCTTGAATTTATACCTTTTCGTTGCACTTGCCTTCTTCTCTTCTTTCTCAGTGCGAACTTGATGGATGATAGTTTTTTCGGCTTTAGATGATACAGTTTTCTTAGTAGTTTTTCTTTGGTCGAGTTTTAATTCTTTGGTTTTCTTTTGACTTAATGATCTTGAGCTTGGGGACCTGAAATGCAATATCAGTTAGAGAGGGTTTGTAAGATGGACAGATCTGKGCCATTTACRCTCGCATTTACGCAAAATCATTCTCAATAGTAAAATTACTATATTCTAAGGAGTTATTTACCTATTGTTCYTGCTTTCATTTTCTTTTCGCTCAGTTGTTTTTTCGCTCTTTTTCGTTTTATCTCCTGCGCCATTGTCCTTCGTCTCATTGCTCGTTCCTTGACTATGGACGTTTGAGGTTTCCGAATCCGAATGAAAATCATCTTTGTAATCATTTTCATTGTTCTAGAAAAAGAGACGTGTGAAAGGTTGGTTTGGTCGTGCTAACGTTGTTTCTTATATATTTTCTTTTTTATAAAGAATACTCTAGTGTTTCTAACTTTCGTTGGAGTTCTGAAGACCCTTACCTTGTTTTCAATAGCAATATCCGCAACGCCAGAAGTACATTCAGAAGACATAGCCAAATGTAGAATTGTCTCCTTGGCAACCGTGACTTTTTTGAGAATCCTGATTCACAAAATTCGTATATTGTGCTGTTTATCAGTAGCCAAACAATTGAGACTGAGATCTCAAGCAAATAATTTCTGAGGGTAAGATAGACACAGCAATATTCACTTAAATTTTCCTAATCTGTACGGATTTTGCTATAATCCAAATATTCAGATCAAACGCGTCACTCCAAATATACAGACAGGCCCTTGACTAGCTTGAGTTTCGTTTGAGCGTTGATGCACTCAGGAAAGCCCTTCGCCGTCTCTGTTTAAACTTATAATCAAGTTCACACACGAAATTGCAAGTAATAAAAGTATGTATTTTTTCATGTAAAAAAAATATCAAAGAAAGAAACAAGAAAAACAAACAAACAAAAACAACTACAAAAAGAGCATTCACAGTGCAACACTGAACAACAGAAGACAAAAAGGCATTTACCATTCAATGAAAAGCGCTCTTRAGGGTCTTACAATAGGAGGAAAACAAGTAGGATATCTCGTAAATTATTTYCAATAAGAGAGCTCTGTCATTAAGGATGAAAATGCACGCGAGACTCACTTTTTCTATGATTTTCTAGTCACAATGTCAAAGCTGAATACGTGTCCATTTCATTGAATTGATAATAACACTACATGTCAATTCGACGTCTGAATCATTTAATTTGCTGTATTTCGCGTATCAAAACGAATATTCAACATACTGACATAAACTTCAACACAAGGCGCAACGTGGTTGCTGTAGTTTGATCACATGTCGGAACAATTTTTAAAAATCACTGATTTTATGTTTTTGACGAATAGCCAATCTGACCGCTATAAAGAAACATTGTACGTCAAAACCTAATCAATTGGACAATTTTTACTTAGCAACTAAGGATTAATTGAAAACAGAGGACATCAAGATAAATTGCGGATTTGAAATACAAAAAGCGATAAAAAAATCGATAATGTGAATAGACATATTACGTGGTTAGTATTTTAAAGCTTGAAACCAATAATCGAGGATTACTAAAAAGGATTTTCTTGTATACTAAGAATTACCATGGTAGTTGCAAATGGGAAATAAATACAACTGTAACCATTTAGATTTCTAAAATCAATTTATAAATAATACAATGCGCCCCAGCTGCTGAAAATATTAGTGTTTTCACATCCAAAAACCCGTCACGATATTTCCTAAGAAAGCTTATTTGAAAACCACTACACTGATGTCCATACAGTTATACTGATATCATATAATGAAAAATTCATGATGACAACGTTTTCTAAATATGTCTGAATTGATACCTTAAAACTTTTCTTGCTTCATAAAATTCAAACGAGACTCCTTGTTACAATAAGTGAGTYCAACGAAAAACTCGTCCCTTYTCAAGTAACACGGTTTTAAGCGCCAGAAGTTTGTTTACTGGCAACCGASGGCTGTTATTCTCATCTTTTTYATCGCCCAATCAACATTTACTATTCAAGGATGTCATTCACAAAGAGAAAAACAGCCACCACGCGTGCGCTTTACTGGACCAGCTGTTTCAATTTTATCATCATTCAATACAGAATAGTAWAATAATGAGAAACCCCRGTGACAAAGAGAGACATTTAGTGTACTTTGCCATTAGGATTCAACACGTTTGTTATTCATCGYGAAAAGAGAACGCGCAACTCTATTAACGACCACAAGTGGGGATATTCTTTCAAATGTGAATTAAAATGTTTTCTAAATAAAGTACTGTGACGAAAATACGCTACACGGAGTATATTTAATAAAAACAATATACATAACATGACTCGATTATAACATTATATTTTTTGTACATTATTTGCCTGTTAAGTATCGTTATGCTTAAAAAAAAAATTGCTTAAAAAAACAGAGTGCTACTCACGCCGAGTCCTTATCGTGATGACGTACTGCATCTATGGTACCATAATTCTTTGCGGTTATTACCCATTCGATACAACATAGTATCAATAACAAAACAATTCACAGCAAAAACTGTCGCTCACTTTCCAAATAATTTTTTTCCCTTTAAATAATACCTTTTAAAAATATTTTAAGTAAACATAAGTTCATTAATGTTTCTTATCACAAATAATGCTCAATTATGTTGTCATCTGGAATTTCATGGCCCTGGAGCCACTTGATATTTGCAATTTCCAACCATTTCTTAATCATGCAAACTTCTTCTTTGTCGCAGTGTATCTCTCCATGTACTTTAAAAAAATGCAGAAATAATYATTGACATTTATGTTGAAAAACATAGATGATATAATCATATTTCATAATTTAATTGTTTRCAGCCTTTTGCAAAAATTATGAGAATTGTCGAAATATCKAAATATCATAATATCGAGTGCATGATGGGTAATCCCGTGCGATGCCCTTAGTCCSTTGTCTTTGTAGTTTAGTTTGYTTTTGGCGACAGACTTATCCGTAGTTCTGAACATTTTCTCGATGTCAACAATGAATTATTCTAGCAAACCCGCGTGTTCCAGACAATATATGGATATGGATATTATGATATTTACATATTTAGACAATTCTCATAATATTTGCAAAAGGCTGTATTCAACTGGTTAGTTTTTATAGATTTTATGCATTTATGTACTATAATGTTATTTGTTTAACTTCTAAGGATATGTATAATTTTGCTGCAATAAAATTTGTAGAACTCCCATGCAGTCTCTTAGAATTATCATGATTTATTTTGATAAATAAATAAAATGTTTTATCATGTCATACCTGTTCATAGCCATCTTTGTCATGGAATTCCTTCATTGTAAATAAATTCCCATCAACAGCSAGCAATGAAATGTTTGAATCTTTCAACAACTTTACTGGRACTTGATCCAGASYCAAGCAATTTTCTTCAACTCGCAAAACCTTYAGCCTTGCACAAGAAGACAGACCCTCTGGTAAAATTCCAATTTGATTTTTATTCAAGTTCACTTCTACAGCCTGAAGATCACTGATATCTGGAGGAATCACTTTGATCTTATTGTCCGATAAGTCTATGACATCAATGTGCCGCAGTGTACAAAGCTCTTCTGGGAAAACAGTCAGTTGATWTGATGAAAGGKATAGTGTCTTTAAGTTTGATAACCCAATGAAGATATCTTGCGGTAAATGCTTGATTGATGTGTGGTTTGCTGTCAGTGTYTCAAGCTTCTTGAGCTTGTTCATTTCCTTTGGAAGGGTTTCTAGAAAGACATTAGAGTTCATTGTAGCAAATTTATTGTGTAAGAAGACTATCCATAACTGAATATTTTATTTTATTTATTTAGACTTTGCCCAGAGGCCGTGTTACCTAACAGAGCATAGCGCCACCAAAGGACACAGGCCCTTGCGCTTCATAATTAAATCTTATTATGATTTGTGTTTCTCTCATAAACCATATTTCTGTACAGCACTTATGCAAAATCCTTTCTAAACAAATTGGTCTCAACTGCAGACCTAGCATGCATGCAGGYATTCCTACTTGGGGGCAGAGCGAAGAAACGCAGAGCGAAGAAACGTTTCTTCATTCTGCCCCCAACTAGGAATGCCTTCACTCAGGCTACAGCAGACCTTATTTTGCTTTTCTATTTTCTCTATTTTGGGCTTCCTGTGGGATTCCTGACATTTACAATCAAAATTACAGTTCAACTAACCAAGGTGATTGAAGGATAAATTTAAACTTTTGAGGTTCACAAGGCCACCAATATTAGCTGGCAATGACTTAAGTTTATTTTCTGAAAGATCAAGTGTTCTTAAGGAAGAGCCAAGATGCAGAAGTTGGGGTGGTACCTGGACAAGAGAAGAAAAAATATAATATAAAAGACTTACTAATGTTTACAAAGACTCCTTAACACTTCTTTCTTTAGGCTTTTTTCACATTCCCACATTTGTCTACTTTGTAATGTATTCTTTAATACACATTCACATCACAATGCAATGTAGGAAACTTCCTTGAAAAGGAGGTAGTGGTGCGTGACACAGACCATTTAGCATTGAAAATAAGACCCCCCCCCATAACTTTTAGTGTCAGTTCTCAAACATCATACTTTTGCAGCTTGTTTTTTTTTGTCAATTTCAAATTAATCAAATCAAATAGGGACCTGAAATCAATATGTAACGCATAAATTATGTGTGCCTCTTGGAGTCATGTATGATATATATTATCATGCACCACTAACACTTATTTAAGAGAATATCTGAATCTGTCTCCTGCATCTGATTGGATTTGATATGTGGGGTTCATTTTTTATATCCCTTGAGTGGCTAATATGCCATTCCTCTTCTTTTGTTATCTAAGCTTGCTTTTTTTGGCAAGTCATGTTTCTACAAACCCAACCATTCAAAACCATAAGAGTRTAAGAAGCCTTATTACTGTAAACGACCGACATTTGAATGTATTTAAGCTTAATGAATGGATCGATTGCCCTATTTTGACTCCTACCTCGGTGAGACGTTTYCCAGAGAGAGAGCAAACGCCCGTCTTTCGAGCATTGTCAATTTGTGGGGATATATTATTGCCCATGGTCAACTTSAAATACTTTTTGGGTTCGTGATCACCAGCAATGAAATATTCTCAATTGATTCGCCATTGACTGGAGAAATAAAACACATCGAATAATATAATGTCTTCTGGGCTGCTAACTGGGAGCAAATTCGTGCCCAGTCTTATCTCGGCCGACCTTGTTTTGGTAAGTGAAAAAATCGAAAGCAAGAAAACAGTAAAATTGTTTATTTGACGGCGAGATATTAGTGGTATTTCATCCATTGATATTGCATCGGTTTATGTCTCTGAAAAAGTATGGGGGGATTTTTACCTTCATCTCACTAGACATACAATCACTTCAAACACAGGTAGCCCAATAATATTCTTAAAAAAATGGCGGCTGCTAAGGGTTGTTGTGCACGTATTCTTCTAACTGGAGCACCAGGTAAAGCAATTAGTAAAAAGTTGTTTTTGCGATAAAAAAGAGCCATTTTTTCAACGTCATCTTTGGGATAGAGTTTTGTGGGATTGACAGGATATAGATTAATAGATGAGGTGACGGTTTTGTCCGCCATTTTGGACCGGTAGGCATAGTGTCGCAAAATAACAAGGAATGACCGGGAAATCGATGTAAAATAATTCTCGCTGAATTCAAATTCAGAAAGAATTATCAATTGCAAATGTTAGATACTACAAAAAGGAGCTGACTGGCCAAATTTGAAGGATGTGCTTCGTCTAGGGAGCGAGAAAATTTATTTTTAGTTCTCAATACATTTCTTTGTATTTTTCACGCGCGTCACGCACTGATGATCCCGGAAATTATAACGAAATGTATTGAAATTACAAAGAAATGTATGGAGAACTAAAAATGAGTTTACTCGCTCTCTAGATCAAGTACGCCTTTCAAATTTGGCCAGTTAACTCCTTTTTGCAGTATCTAACGTTTGCAATTCTTTCTGAATTTGAATTCAGCGAGAATTATTTGACATCGATTTCCCGGTCATTCCTTGTTATTTTGCGACACTATGCCTRCCGGTCCAAAATGGCGGACAAAACCGTCACCTCATCTATTACTTAAGTCAACTGATATCAATGCGCCTGCTAAAAACGTCAGAGGCTTAGACAGAAAAAAACAGAAAAAGAAAGAAAACAGATAAACACAAGAACAGGTAGTCTTTCCTTCGGTATAAGGCGTTTAAAACTTACTCTTCTTTTGATTCCTGTTAAGACATAGATCAGTTGGGCACTTATTAAATGAGAGAGATAACAATGTAAGTTAATGATAATTGCACACCTGCTGATGACACCACTATAGTCAACTATAGTAGTCCTTGTATCAACTCTCTCCCAGGCAAGATGTCGGGCACTGGCAGTTCCCTTACTCACAAAGAAATAGGCATTTATAGGTTCAGATTTGAGCTCACTGCAGAATCTGATGTTGATGGTGGAGTTTGATCAGGCTGGGAAACTACCACCACAACCCCCATGCATGGATGAAATATTCATGATTGTGTCATCTTAATGTTTTTCCAGGGGTAGGTAAAACTACAATTTGCAAAAAAGTCAATGAGGCATTAATGAAAAACTCAATAAGTACGCAAGGATTCTACACTGAAGAAGTGCGTAATGATCAGAAAGCTGGCCGAATTGGTTTTGATATTGTTACACTCACTGGGGAAAGAAGCCCTTTGGCAAGATTGAAAGAGTAAGATATGTGTTACTGATGGCATGTATTAAAAAATAATCCATTAACATGTGAGTGCAATCTGGTAAATTTGACATTTGCATGGTGCAAAAGGTTTTTAAAATATCAGGTATTCTAAGTCTCTTCTTTTCGCATTAAACATTTCAATTAAAATGTTGAACACAGGGAAGGAAAAAAGCAGAATGGACCAAGTGTTGGTAAATATCTGGTGGATTTGAAATCCTTTGAGTCACTAGCCATGTCTTCTCTCCARTTCCATCATGTAAGTGAAATTGAGACATTGCAAATGCTTGCTATGTGGAACATTCATTTTGATCAACTGTGGAGCTTGCAGTCAAAGGCCATTATGGCTACGAACTGTTAATGAATTTCTGTATCATTATTTGATTTGTTSACAGGACAGTGTACCATCATCAGTTGTCATTGTTGATGAGATTGGCAAGATGGAGCTTTTCAGTAGACTATTCTCACAAGCAGTTAGTGACTTATTTGAATCAAAGACACCTTGTATATTAGCAACAGTACCTATTGCCAAGCAACGTGCAATACCATTTGTAGAGCGCCTCAAAGAAAGGAAAGATGTTGTTTTAATTGAGGTAAACAAAATAAAACATGATACTATTTTTTTTAATTTTTCTCTGTATAGCAGCCATAATTGTATCTGTTTCAAGTATTGCCATTCAGGGTGATATATTTCACCCTGCCTTACAACGCAGGGAGCAAAGGAGTCTATTACTGGACTTCCTAGAGCTGATAACTTTATATTCCTTCAAATTTACCAGTCTTTTCAGATATTTACTAACAATAGATGCCATTTCTTAGGTCACAAGGACAAACCGTTCAAGTATTGCCGATGAGGTTCTCCAGTTAATTTCTTCTGCTATATGCAGAAAAGTTACTTGACAGATTATCTATAATAACTTTATTGGCTCCATTCTACATCAATTATCATGAAAGTTATAGAYGATATCAAAACAAAGTTAAAATAAAATTCCATATCAACTATGTAAAATTGCAGACATTTAAAAAAATGTGCTTGACACCATTGAGAAATAAAATATTTATTTTCTTGATATACTATATTTATTTTCTCATATTAGTTCATCTACATATTATTTGATGGTAAAAATCTACTTCAAATACCTTCCAATAMTTAAAACTACTAATTGGATATAATTAATAATAATATTAATAATTCTAATAAAAAGTAAAAATAAGCTAATTATGTAGGCCATGAATGACCTAGTCCAAGTTTTCTTGGTCTTAAAGTGGCACTAATAGGTTCTACTATGCCCCCTTTATCAGGCCCAAGTCCAGTTCCAGGAACCCAACCCATGCTTCTCAACATCTGGTTTCCTATGTTGTGTTCAGGTATTGCACTYGCTAAATTTCCAACCACTCCAGGAACTAAAAATAGAATAAGTTTAGTCGATTTTTGTGCACAGTTGGTGGACCASCTACAGCTGTAAACAGCACTATGACAATAACATTGATTATAGACTCCTTGCATGTCAAGTCAAAGCAGCTATATTTTGGGGACAAAACAAAAGGTGCTTGCTCTCTTTGGAATAAGAATCCACTGTTTTGTCAGAAAGAGGGAATTGCATTCTTATGAACTGCAAGTAGACTATGTAATCATATTTTAAASGAGTTTAATATGAACCTTCTGAAGACCTCTCCATTCTTTTTGCCCTTTTCACCTCAGTGTGAAATCCTTTCCTCCTATTGGTAAAAACAGGATAAGAATAGAGTGCATGCCACATAAGTGTGAAACAATTCTGACCACCAAATAAGAATTCAGTGAGACAAACTGTCAAAGACGATTTCCTTTCTGGCAATTGTGTTCATGTCCCAGTGAATCCTTAGCTAGTTTATAACTAATTATAACTATTTAGTTGATGATTGTTAAGTAATAAGAAATGTTTCACGCTTTTTTGTCATACAATTTATTGCTTGGAAATGTTATCCTAGCTAATTTCCTAAAGGGAAAATTAGAGACATGATAGAGCCAGAGCCAGAAGCCATTCAGCTAATTCAAATTATACTTACTTTCCATCTTTCCAAAGTAAACTGTTTAATGCTTTCTTATCAGGTTGACTAGTGTTTCTATTGGTAAAGCAAGTTATTATCAATATGAGATACATGTACACGTATAGCAAGTGCCATTTTCTTAAAGCAATTGTAAGCTTCGGGCCTTGTACTAGGAGACATACAATGTATATGACCCCTAAAATGAATGTATACCTTGTTTTAATAAGGATTATCCTGCCTCCTGCTAAGTTTTCTGTTCGGCAGTGAAGAGAGTACAATGAAGCAAGTTGATAAATCTATAAAAAAAAAGTTCCAATTAATTAATGACTATTAATAATTATTGTTAAACTTTGTTCTAAGAGAAGATTTGCAAATCAACATTACCAAAAGGTTTATACATAATAGGAAAGAAAAAATAATWATACCTTTTCTCGTTCATTTCTATTTGTCAGCTGAACTGATAGCCTAATAATAGATAAACATGTAAGGAATATGAGTGGAAAATAATCAAGATATAGAAAAGTTGTGATGAATGTGTATTTTTTTCAACTTACTCTGATTTTAAGGGATCATGTAGAAATTTGTTGATTTTTCTGTTTACTTCAACTAATGGTTTCATATTATTCTGAAAAAAATAATAAAATAAAACATATAAATTAATATACATGAAATGAAACATGCCCAAAGTAGCCCAGTTTAGTGCTGATATAGACTGCCTTCAATCACCTATTTTTGCTTTGCCAGTGGTTTTGTCGGATGGCAGTCTATCGCTTATAACATGCAGTGCATTTCAGTGGGACTAGTCACATTCCAGCAATAGTAATCAATATAGATCCCTTAAATAGTACTTACAGTTTCATGCATACACTTGATAGAATTCAATCGTGCTTGAAATCCTTTTGACAATAAAAAACAGCATAATTAGAAGTGTGAATTATGCACATTGGAAAAATTTGGAGTAAGTACTAGAAATACAGTCCAATGCACAAAACAAAACACTCCATTCTTATTATGTACAAAGTCCAAAGAGTACACTACTGGGCCCAGCTGTGTATGTGAAAAACAATACAATACCTCCTCCTTTCGTAGAATTGGAATCAGCTGATAACCCATACGCATCCATGACTCCATTAACAATATTATTGAACTTTTGTTCATCTTCAAGTTCTTCAGATTCATTTTCCCACCATGGAATGACAGACTGCATGCTTCCAGARCCACTATCTTGTTCAAAAGTGCTTTCTTCTCCTTCATCGTCACCAAGACGGCCCTCGTCATTAGTAAAAAAACCTTCACTTTCATTTCCACTTGAAGATTCACTATCTGAACAAGCCATTACTTCATCTATAGGATCATTATCGCTGAGTTGCCATGGTGAAATGTCATCTTGCATTGTGGGATCACTTGAAGTTGTACACATCAAATGCACATTCTTTGAATATCTATATGAGTCACTTAATGGATGGTCACTTATTAAACTCCTCCCACTGTCAATCTCATGCAGTGTGCCTTCCTCATATTTTGAGCGTCTTGTCCAGGTTTCACCACAGGCGTTGCCTGATATTCTGTTGGATAATTTTCGTTTTAATGATCTTCGAGGGACTTTGGATTTGCAATTAACGGGAAAATCTGTGTTGTTTTGAATTCCAAATGTAAATTGTTGTTTACTTCGCTTTATTTTCTTATTCCTTCTTTTGCCTACTGTATTACTGACAGAATCGKTCACCGAATCGATCTCCAAACGTTCTGGCAAAGGATAAGGATCAGATTTTGAAGCCAATCTGTAAAACATTGACAATCGTCTACTCGATGTAAGAGCACTGTCTTCATCAGAATCACTTTGACACATGGATATGTTTTCAATGTAGTCTTTGAGCGCCTCCTCGATAGAATCATTGCTTTCCTCGCTTAAAACTGCCAAGTCTTTTGTAAGAGGAAAATCAGATCGCCTTTTTCTGCCTCGTCGTTTCTTCCTCTTGCGAACTGGTGTTGAGGAAGGAGAATCTTTTGTCCCGATTGTCGTGTCTGATTTCGAAGATTGCGGGTCATCGGTTCTCTCTAGAGCTATAGTTAAATCTGTGACTAATTCGTCCATAATGTAAGAATGGGAAAGGTATTAAACTAGCTAGTTTACTTTTGAATATCGTGAGCATAGCACATTTTCAAAACAATGTGACATCGAGCTACAGCAACATGATGACGTATGAAGTTCCCGCACTGCATTTCGCGCAGCTTGAAATTTTAGAAAAATGCACGAAGTGAACATAAAATGGGATAAAAGGGACACGTCTTATTTACTTATGAATGTTATATTCAATCCAAAATTATTGAATATCGGTATATAAGCGTGCAATTGAAAAAACAAAGAAGTCTTTTACAGGGCTGCCTGTGCCACCACATCCCGAGAAGGCCTGCGTACGATTCTCAGTTGTAACCTTAGTTTTGCATTGATATTCTATGATTTTATATATTACAGATATATTGCCGGGATTTTGAAGGTAAATGCGTAAAGATTGGCTGCACGTACTTCAAATACTAGTTTAAGGTCAGCTTTTTGTCCTTTACTACTCTGTACATTGTCTAGAATGCCACATTTCAGGACTTCAGYAGTACACGTGCGACAGCTTGTTCAACATTGGATTTTTATTTCTTTCTAGATGGCAAATAATAAGCGCAAAAAGAAGCAAAAAAATTCTGACTTCAAAAAAGTCAAGTTCAAAGTGGGTCAAAAACGTCCAAAGGGTGCCAATGAAACACAGATATCGTTTAAATCCCAAGGAATTGTTGTACCCTCGAAAGATATTGTGAAAGAGGGAAGTCTTACAAACGTAAAGAAACAGACTTTAAAGGTAMATAAGCTTAAAATATATTTACGTGTATGTAATTAGTATGGGGGTACAATACAGTCTGCTCCATTCACCCTTTGCCCTCCCCCCTCCCCCTTCCCACTCCCCCCTCCCCTTCCCATTGGCAAATTTTGGGGATTGTTCTTAGTTGTTAGTCAAGTGGATATACAGTTTCTTTATCATTTAGTTTGTCTTTTCTTCTAGGATTTGCTTGTTCATCTCAACCATTACAGTGCAACTGTAAGGCAAGATTCACTTGTTGGCTTGAGAGCCCTTTTTAAGCAACATGAAACTGAGCTGCATGACAATCTTAGTTTAGTGTTAAACTCAATATTAGGCAAGATGACAGATACCGATTCTGATGTGAGGCATTCACTCTTACTTTTGCTACAACATGTTTTACCAGAAATCTCATCAGATCAGGTTGCTCCTTTCTTAGCCCTAATGGTAGCTCACCTAAGCTCWGCAATGACTCATATCTATAGTGATATTCAGCTGAAGTCCTTGGAGTTTCTTTCTCTGATGCTGGAGCTTTTTCCAAAACAGATGAAGAAGCATTCCAAGAAAATCATAGACAACCTCTTRGACTTGATTTCACGCGATAGTAGTAGGAAATCAAACAATTCAAGTGTAAACGCTTCTACCGCTGCTGAAGGAAGACTTGTATCTTCAATGTCAAAGTTGAAGATWTTGAATCAAATMCTTGCATGCYTGAAAGTTATGTATGATTTTGATGATGCAAGTCCTTTTAATACAGACCTTTCTGACAATTTTGACATGGWACCAATGTATTTTGAAGAGGGAAAGACAAACTATGTTCCATTATTTACCAGTGCTATTCAAGAAAACTCTCTGAGATTTTCATTTGATAGCCAGTTTGATCTCAATGAGACACAACAACAAACAACTRGAACCAAGGAATTTATTCAGAGAATGATTCCTTTGCTTTTAGAATTCTGGATTGAATGTAGTCCATCTCAACTTGCATACTCTCTGCCAAACAGTGGRGTTTCATCATCAAGCATATCTGAAATGTCAACAATTATGAGTATTTTAAAAATTCTCTTAAATGTATTATATAAGGAAGACACCTCAAGTGAAATGAGAGATTGGTTTGCAGGGTGTTACTTGAAAGATTTCAAAACTCATTTCATGAAGTTTTTCCCATTTCAAGCTACTTTAATAGCAAAGACMAAGGGCAAGTCTAAAACGTCAGATACTAACAGTGACTCTATTCTGATGTTGAATATTTCTATCTGTGAAGTCATGTCTGTATTCATGCCATTTACAACAAAACATGAAGCTTGGATGGAAACCTTGSAAGAATTCATTGCACAGATTCTAGAGAGTAATGTAAGCAAGATTAAAGTTCAACACCTGAACAGCATTTTGTTGTTTGTCCAAAATGTTTTACAAGGGAAAACAAGTGAAGTGGAGTCRACTACAAAGCTCTTGSAGTCTCTTTACAAGATCTATCTTTCAAGCCACATGATGTCRGCAGTGAAGATTGAACTATTAAAGTTCTTTGCTGCATTGTACATCAAGTTAAATGTCAGGTACATGTATTTCATAGTAGACAGTTTAATAAAATGATTTGAACATAGGCAATCTTATTAATTAACSCAACAACCATCTTTTTGCTAATAAAAAAAAACTAATCATGCCAATATATTTTTTATTTCATCAGTGATKTTGAAGTCTCTGCTCAATGGAACACAATTTTGAATCAGTGGGTAAAATCTCTTCCAAARTTGATGGTAAAATCTAATGTGTCCAATCTGGACATGATCAAAGTTGTGATAAAACTGCTGCCGAAGGTGATGAATCAAAGCGCTGATGATATTGAGTCCCAGGAAATRCAAAAGATGCTGTCATCCTTTTTAAGTAAGCTCTTAATTAATTATAGTTGGATATTACAAAAAAATATGTATTTGTTGTTACCCTGTTATACAAAAATAATATGCAAAATGTCTGAGCTTACATTTACCCTCTTATTCTTGCATGTCTGTCTAGTGTCTGGAGCATTGTGCTCATTGCCGATTCAAAGCCAACGATCATTTGCTGAGCTCATCTTCAGTCTGCCAGTCATTAATGATGGATTGCTCAAGACACTTGCATTGTGTTGTAATAAGAGTGGTATCTCTGTAGATGTTGTGCAATATGTGCTTCATATTCTTCATTACAGGTATTAAACCAATTTATGAAATAATGAGATAATCATTGTATTAACAAAATCCTTATGAAAAATCATATTCCATACATATATGAACATACAGTTAATTGMAGTGATATTTTATTTTATATTTAAAGATCCTCACCAAGCCTTGGTTTAAAGCAAAAACCTTGTGCAGTTTCAGTGTCTTCATATCTTAGTTTTCTGTTTAGTATTGCTGTGGGTAAGTTAAAAGAGCAATGAATTTTATCCACGCCATGAGAAGGGGGCTGCGTGTATAATTTACAGTCAAGACTTGTTTTCCAGAAGTGGTACCTCTAGAAAATTAACCCTATTTGGTCAACCAATCTGAAACATTAGGTTGACTTCACTTGCAGTTTGTGGGCTTATTCAAATTTAACTTGAAGAGAAATTTAACTAGAAAAATGCTGRGTATTAATGGCAGAATTGATAAGAAAGAGTTATGAAATGTTTCCTTGGTTTCATGAGGACTTGACTTATTTTCTTTTACTTGATGTAAGTTAAAATTATTTATTAGGTATTTCTGACAAAGAACTAAGCAACCTCCAATCAAACAGCAAAGATCAACAATACACTTGCATGTACAACCTTCATGAG